TATGAGGTGGGTAGAGCCATGTCAATCAGAATATGATCAGGAATTCCAAGTGGGCTGACACTGGTGCTGTCAATGATACTCGGGCATGGCTCTATAAAAGGGCCATCATCTTTAAAATGTTACCTCCCGGCCAACTCCCTCTCCATCTTCCTGGTGGCATTAGGGCTTACTATGGCATCCTAATGTTTTCAGTTCTCTCAGAGACTAGTAATTTCCCTTTTTAACACACAGGGTGGACAGGCGCCTCTACAGAGACTGGGAAACAATGAGTATGGCCAGAATTCAACAACACTGTTTTGACTTCAGTGGGTTTTGTTTTCACAGTTGCTTTCTGTGTCAGGCATGTAATAATTGGTCTTCTGTTTACAGAAGGGTGCAACCCTCTTACTTTACAAAAGAGCTAAAAGTCATCTGGTTTAAAGAGAAAGTATTAAACCAAGAGCTAGAGATATGGCTGCAGCAGAAAAGCATGGGAAAAAAAAGGGACAGGACAGTTCATCAAAGAGTCAGAACATTTGTGGTGTGCAAGCAGAAGATGAAACCAAAAAGGTAAACTGAGGCTGAGTAGTTGGGAGCCCTGAAGCCAAGAAGAAGTACTCTGGGTTTTACCCTAGGGTCTAACTAGACATCTCCAGGCCTCTGGCTAGACAGTAGAGGGGGTCCTACCTCCAAAGATAAGTGTGGCGCACAGCATCTGGGGAACAGTCAAGGAAGCAACCACAGGGGTCCAGCACTGCCCCAGGAAAAGGACATGGCTTGCCCTAGGGGCCCTTCAAGACAGAGCAGGGTGACACACAGCTGGCTCAGGAGGCAGGTATTGGTCCAAGCTAGCCTCCACAGTGGAGAACATCACCATATATGGAGTGAAAAGTTAGGGGAGAAAGTTAGGAAAAGAAAACAACAGAGCATTGAACAGACTTAAAGACAGAAAGAAAAAAATGCCTAAAGATAGCCTAAACAAAACACGCGTACCCCAGTGCCGGCCTGTCTGCTGGCCATATGGCGTGTGATAAGATGGAGGGGTTGCGTTTATCTTCCGTGACTCGTCTGCAGAGCTGAGAGCCGGCCGTGCAATAGAGACCACGGTCCTTCAGCCTGACTCACAGACCCCAGCCTGGGAAGCAATCACTGTCCCACCCCTCCCCCACTCATGCTCCCTATCTTGACCCCCCACATAAGCCACAGCCCCCACAGCTGTTTTCCCAAAACCCTGTAAACCGCAGGCTGTGTCGTGAGCCTCGAGGTCAGCTGTGCCACAATGGGGACAGCCGGCTAGCTAGCTCATTAACTCATGTGCTCCTCCTTTCACCCAGGTCCTCTGTTAGGACCAGATAGTAACTGTAGGGTAAGGTTTCCCATGTGGCTAGTGAGTATTACTACTTGGAGTTTTTCTTGGCAACGGAGTCGGCTCTTGTACCATGAAGACCTTGGAATTCTGTCTCTCTCTGATATAGGCCACCACCTCATCTGGCTGCATGAATAGAGCCAAACAATACCTATCACATAAAAGCCACCAAAGCCAGCCTGCCTTCTCTTCCTGGACACGGGCCTCGAACAGCCGCACTCTGGGACCCCGCCATCAGTCTGTTATAACTGGTCTCAGCTTTGCTCTGATTGGCTAGGTTTTAATTGAGAAGCCAGAGATGTCCCATGTGGGGCCCACTAGAGCTAGACATGCCAACGGGATGCCAAGCTAAAAGTGAACCTCTGGTAAGTGGCATGGTGGTTCATGTCTGTAATCCTGGTACTTAGGAGGCTGAACTGGGAGGACAAAGTTTGAGGTAAGCCTGGGAGACCTGTGGTGAGTTTCAGCCCAGCATGGGTGACCGCGTTAAGACTGCTCCAAAAGCAAACTAAAATTGGTGTATGTATCCGTATAACTAAGGGTACAGTCCGCCATGCTGGGGAAGCCCTGGTAGCAGGGGCTTGAGACAGGTGTCACGTCGTGTCCACAGATGGGAGCACTGAATGTCTGGTGCTCAACTCACGTCCACCTTTTAATGGAATGCAGGGCCCTAGCCTGGAGAAAGGTGTTACCCGATTTTATGGTGGGTCTTCCTGCTTCGATTTACCCAATCTGGGTTATTCCTCACAAGCTTGCCTGGAGGTCTGCCTCCCAAGTGATTCTGGAGCCTGTTGAGTGTGTCAGCTGTAGTAAGACAACAACCACAGCATCCTGTAACACAACAACCACAGCTCCCATAATACAACAACCACAGCATCCCATAATACAACAACCACAGCATCCCATAACGCAACAACCACAGCATCCCATAACACAGTAACCACAGCATCCCATAACACAGTAACCACAGCATCCCGTAACACAACAACCACAGCATCCCATAACACAACAACCACAGCATCCCATAACGCAACAACCACAGCATCCCGTAACACAGTAACCACAGCATCCCGTGCAGTTCTGGGCGATGCCAAGTCTTCCCTTATCCACAGAGACATGTTCCAAGGCATTCTGCAGCTATATGTAACTGCAAATAATACCAAACATACTGACCTATGATAAAGTTTATAAATTAGGCAAAGAAATAACCATTAAAAATTGAACTGTAGCATCCTATGGTAAAATTTATTTACCATTTACTATTTTTAGAATTGTTTTCCCATTTAATACTGATGGACCTCAGTGACCTATCATGACTGATACCTCAGAAGGAGAAGTCCCTAAGAAAAGGAGACATTGTACATATACTAAAAAGCCCGTTAATCTAAGGTCCAAATTTGATGGGAAGTCTTCTGTTCCTATTCGCTATATCTGGTAAGAGGCTAGATCTACCTGTGGGGTAGCCTTCCTCAGAGGCCACCACAGGAACAGCTCCCCCCACCCCGAGCTAGAGCTTCACTCCTGCTGCTCCCTGAATGAGCTCGCCACAGCCTGCAGCAGGTTCTCTGTGCCCTTGGCGTTCAGGACTTCCGGTTGTTAGAAGCCATTTGCTATGACTTTTCCAGCCAATGCAAGAAGTTGCGCAGAGCCGCAGGGGACAGATTTGTGATCGGACTTAGCACAAGGAAGGTCAGATGCCCACGCCCTAGCAAGTGTCACACAGAGCCCCTCTGGTACATCTCGAGGGTTGCACATGAGGCTCTCCTAAGCAGCCCACACCCTGAGGACACTCATGAGCCAAAGGAATCTAAGATCAAGAAGGGTGGGCCAGGCTTAACAAGCGCATGGGTGGTTTTCTAAGTGGCCAGCAGCCCAAGTCAAGGGCAGCTGGCCTGGGCAGGCCCTGACATGAGTCTGGCAGAAGGCAGAGCCCAGCCCCACTGCAAAGTATCTCAGGGTATGAACTTACAGGCTCCGGGCCAGACCACGTGCCGCAGACGTGGAGGTAATTCTCTACACACAGCCTAGAAGCAGCTGTTACTGTGACCCCCGAGGCAACAGTGAAAAGACACTACAATCTACAGATTCCGTCTGCCAGAAATCTATGGCTAATAACAATATGTTAGACCATACAAAGCAGGCATTTACGGAAGTCAAAAATGTTAGGATGTTGGGAATTACTTATGGCCCAACCAACCAAGGAATAATAATACTGGATTCCTTTATCTGGCTCCATGCAAAGTTTTCATATTCACTGTGCAATGCTTATCTTTTATTTTGTTTTGCTTTGAGATAGGGTCTGACCATATGAGCCCAGAGTAGGTTGAAACTCTCTAGGTAGCCCAGGCAGAATTCGAACTCATGATCCTCCTGCCTCTTCCTCCCAAGTGCTGGGATTGCAGAGTGTGCCACCCAGCTCTGGGCAATGTTGGACGCCAATGACCACTTTCAAGGTTGAGTATTGGATGCACATTTTAGAGAATCAGGGACTCACACACAGTGCTCACACAACTGCATCCACACCCACAGGGACTCATACCCAGTACTTATACAACTAAATCCACAGTAGCCAGGTCTGTGTAATTCAACCCCACACCCCACACACAGTGCTCATACAACTACATCCACATCCTCGGAGACTCACACACAGTGCTCACACAACTACATCCACATCCTCGGAGACTCACATACAGTGCTCACACAACTACATCTACACCAGGTCTGTGTGGTCCAACCCCACGCACAGGCATTGCACCAACTGCCCAAGCCAGATCTTGGGTCTGCCCACGTTCTCTGCTCTCTGGCTCTACAGCAGTGACCACGGCCAGGACTCCAGGTCTTGGGTCTGTCTTCCTTCTCTGCTCTCTGGCTCCACAGCAGTGGCCGCGGCCAGGACTCCCCGCCTGCACAGCAGTCACACTGTCATTAATCAAAGCCTGGCCTCCCGAATTACAGCAAAATATATTTAGAAAGTAATTGCAAGAGGATGAAAACATTTGGAAGTTTATTTGGAGAAAGGAAAGAGACCCCCAAAATGCACTTCTAAAATAAATAGAAAGTAATCAACAAGAGAACGGTGTCCAACCAGTTTTAAAATGCGTTAACTGCGACTGTGAGTTATTAAGTCATGCCGTGGACCACCGAGAAAGACATTAGGAATGACACCATCTGAGGCCCAGAGCATGGCTACTGATGCTTTCCTCTCATTGACTGTCAAGCTGCAGAGGGCAGAGGAGGAAGACACCCCAGGAGAACGGGGCACAGTCAGATAATGTGCCTTCTCAGAAGTTGAGGACAGCACACTAAGTAAAAGGGAACTCGTGAGATGATTCAGTGGGTAAAACGCTTCTCTTGCAAACCTGAGTTCAGTCCCTGGAAGCACAAAGTTGCTCTTTGACCACCACACACACACACAGACACACACACACACACAGACACAGACACACACACACACACACACCAGGCATGCACCCCCTCCAGGACTCAGTGCTTTGAAAAAAATTAAAGATAAGTAAGATGGTTTCAGCTCCGAGCTTTGAAAGAAGAAATGCATACTGTGGACAAGAACTGTAAAAGTCAGCGCCTATGTAATGAACGGTCCACATGATCATCAGTAGAGATGAAATCTGAGGATTAAAAGGAGGAGGGGACTGACCTTGACATGGGCCAGGTAGTGGTGGCACGTCTCATCCATGTGGGTCAGCTGCAGCTTCTCTGAGACCTGGCTGGCAGTCTCTCCCAGCAACACAAAATACACTCTGGGCAGCTGGCCCTTCTCCTTCTGGGCCACGTCAGCCGTCAGGTTGTAGCTCAGATCTGACAGGAAATGAAGGGTCGAAGATGTCAGTAAAGATGGACACACAGTGGCGAGACCGCCCAGCCCCACAGTTCTGTAGAGACCCCACACACAGTTCACACAACATAGGGGACTGCCCTACGCTCACATCAGACCATTGCAGAAGCCATAACCAGGCTATGGGAGAACCAGGGTGGCCTCTGCCCTCCTAGGGATCCCACGCACATCAGACCTGCGGCTCTTCCTTGCGTAAAATCCCACGCCTTTGTGTGGTGCCAGCGGAACCACCAGATATACGTGCACGCCCATGGCTGCTTTTCCAGTGCTTGGGGTGGTCTGACAGGTAAGCATCGCAGCAGACCTGTCAAATGTAACTGGAAGCTGCCAACGTCACAAAAGCAAGGAACAATTGCCGCAACGATCCAGTGTCTCTCACAAGCAACATCACTCGTGAGGCAACGAGAAGCCTGCACACCAGGTACTGACACAGGGAGGTGTCATTCAACTCCTCTTTCATAGAGCTCCATGCTTGGAAACTGAGGCACAGCCTGGGGCTGGTCCCACTCTTAGGGCGCTGGTCCTTCCATCAAGGTTTTGGCCATGGTGGCTCCTGCATGGAGATTTCCTCCAGAAAACTCAGCCCTAGACCTGAGAGGGCAGCGGCAGACAGGAGAGTGGTCTGCACACAGCATAGAACAGAAAAAGGAGAGAATGATGCTGTGATGCCAAGTGCATGCTGGGTAAACCCAACACACCTCACCTCTATTACTCTGGAGCCAGGAAGCAAACAGACAGCCGTGTGTTTTATCTGGTAAGAAGAAGTTCAGCAGATCTACAGCACTGTTCTCTGCGCCAGGGCCCAGGCTCTCAGTGAGCCGTTTTATTTCTTAACTCTTTGGTGGGTTCTGAGATGATTGTGTTTTTAAAAGATTTTATGTTTATTACGTGTGTTTGTGTGTGTGTGTGTGTGTGTGTGTGTGTGTGTGTGTGTGTGTGTGTGTGTAATTGAGTGCTGCATGGGAGCAGGTGCCCAAGGAGGACAGAAGGAAGCGGTGGGTCCCCTGGAACTGGAGGTACAGGCAACTTGGGTTCCGGGGACTGAACTTGGCTTCTTTAGAGAGAGCTCAACCACTGAGCCATTTGTCTAGCTCCAGGAGAAATAATAATGTGACGAGATGAGTTAGCTGACCAGTGGGAGGCCAGTGAGCCATCCCAGGCCATCTCCACACAACTGTCTGTCGGAAGCTTGGGCCATTCATTGAAGCCAGTGCCTTGCCAGCGTGTAAGTATGGTGAGGCAGACCCACAGGAATAGCCATGTCCTTAAATAACATCAAAGGGACCCGCCACCAAGGGAAGTATGAACAGAGAAGAAAAAAAGGTGACTTGACAGGCCGTCTGTGGCATATTTTTTGCTGCATCTAATGGCTTCCCTGGGCCCCTGCCATATCATGGCTCCCATCATGCCCAGTTGGCAGATTCCTAGCCAGTGGAGGCTATGATGCCCTAACTTGCTTATTTTGACAAGCAGCTGACTTCTGAGGCAAAGCTGGGTCACCAGGAAGAACCCAGAACATGGATCACGCCAGGAGATAGTTCTACTCCTGGGGAAGTGCTTCAGCAGAGAGAACACAGGGCACAACACGCATTACAAGCAGAGCATGTGCATAGACTGCCAAGGTCTTGCAGAAATCCTATAGGTCAGCTTATGCAAAACCTCCACTTTCAGAACAAAGGGACCTGTGACTCCAAAAGGGGAAATGACTTGCTCCAGACCGAGAACCATCAACCATACAGCAGAATCGAGAACTCTCCGTATCTAATCTGCCCCCACTGTGTTCCATGCCCCACTAGGATGGCCCATTAGGCAGCACTGAGAGTTCCCCCGCTTTTCTAATCCACAGTCCCAAGGTCCAAATTCCTTCCAACAAAAGCATGGTCAGCTCCATCTCAGCAATACCCCACTCCTGGTACCAACTCGTGTTTTAGTTAGGGTTTCTATTGCTGTGAAGAGACACCAAGGCCACAGGACCTCTCATAAAGGAAAACATTTAACTGAGGTGGCGGTTTACAGTTTCAGAGGTTCAGTTCACTATCATCATGGCGGGGAGTATGGCGGCATGCAGGCAGACATGGTGCTGGCTACATCTTGATCAGAAGGCAACAGGAAGAGGACTGAGGCACTGGACACAGCTTGGGCATATATGAGACCACAAAGCCCCCCCCCACAGTGACATGCTTTCTCCAAAAAGACCACACCCATTCCCTGTGCACTTATGGGGGCCAATTACATTCAAGCTACCTTACCTATACTGAAACCTCTTACTCTTTGAGTGTAGAAATGGCAGGACCAAGCATTGATAAAGGTTCAGGGCTGAACCCTGAGCCGATCTTTTCACTCCAGGCAGTAGCAACCCAACAGAGCAAGTGGTTATGTTCAAGTGAAGCGAGTTCCAAAATGCTCTTTAGCAAGATTACGTCTGGAGAGGCCCATAGCTGGAGGACAAGTCAGACGCACGGCTGGATAAACCAAGGTGGGGATGGCAGCTGCAGAGTCTCAGCCGCCCCTGGCCAGTCATCCTTCCTGGTGACAAATGAGGGCTGTCTTTGTCCCTCAGGAGAAGGAAATGGAAGGGACAGCAGACCCCAGTGATCCAGCCAGATGAGCTCCATGAGATCAGGAGATGGGAAGACAGGGTGGATAGTATCAACTCCAACTCACATCCTCTTGGCCTCTTCCAAATCTGTCTGCCTCCACTGAGGGCTTTCCTGGCAGGAGTCAGGCCTCTGAGTGGCACTGCAGACAGGACACAGTTTCCTTACACTTGGTACCTCACACTGAGGCACGTCCTACACTGAGCCCCCGAGTTCCCCAGTGGGCCTGAGTTTAATGGGCTCACAGTGGTATTGTGCTTAGCCACACACCTTCTGTTTGGTTTTTCTAGAATGGTTAACTTATGTGCCAACTTGGTTGGACCACGGTACTCAGATATTTAGTCAGGCACTAAACTACACACTGTTGTGAAGGTCTTCTAAAAATGAGATTAACAGTTATATCATTATACTTTGGAGGAAGTGAATCCAACTCTATAATGTGGGTAGGCTACATTAGTTGAAGATCTTGAGGAGAGAGAGAGAGAGAGAGAGAGAGAGAGAGAGAGAGAGAGAGAGAGAGAGAGAGAGTGTGTGTGTGAATATGATCTCTCCATCTCCTGAGTCCCATGTCTAGCCTACCCACAGAACTTCAGGTCAGCTCTGTGTCTCTAGCCAAATCCAAAATTCAGGCTTACCAGCCCCATAGCTTCATGAGCCAATCCCTTAAAAAGCACCCGCTAACACCATAATACAACAACCTCACTCCTGTTCTCCCATTTCCAACCTCCCCGTTCAGTTCCTCCGGAGAAGCTGGTCCTCTGCCCCATTTACACAGGACTCATCCCTACACTGAGGTGTGCCCTGAGACCCTTGACTTGGGAATGTATTTGGGTTGAGGGAGATCTCATTACAGGGCGAGTTGGAAAAGGGGGCGATTTCTGCCTTGCACTCGTGTCCAAAGCTGCGCATGCCCAGAGTTGCGCTGAGTATTTTGCAAGCAAAGCTGCGCATGCCCAGAGCTGCGCTGAGTACTTTACAAGCAAAGTGTCCCGCTTCTGCTCAAGATGCTCCAGGAAGGGGCGGAAGCTGCAGTTGAAACAACAGAACTGAGAATGCAGCCAGGCTCTGCTCCAGGTGGGGCATGCGGGTGCCAACCTGTTAACCTAGAAGATTTCTCAAATGTTCCCGTGTCTGATTCCCACACAGACCCCGTCATCCAGCTGCCAAGAGAAATCGCTTCGCAAGCATTTCCTCTCTAGAACTGCCTCCTCCGTGCTTGATGTGAAATTTATTTTGACATCATAAATATACAGAAGTCCATTCTATGTCAGACTCTCACTTCTAGATGCAAGCAAGATTCACCATGGAGAACCCCACCTGAGTGCAGAGTCTGGGAGCTATCAGAGGTAAGACCAAACAGTCTCCTCTGAAGCCTGAGCTCCAGCTTTAAATAGCTCCCACTCAAGTGCCCCAAGCTGGTTGGGATGCAGCCAATCAGCCTGCTCGGGGTGGGGGGGCGGTGCCTCAGGCCTACAGCTTGGCCTCTGCAGCAACCCCTTAATGCAAGCCAGCTCTCAAAGCCTGGCCCAGGAGAGGATGCTGGTTCAGATTAGAGCCAGTTCCCAGAGCACATGACACATCAGGTTCTCCCTTCTGGCAGTTTGTGTCCATGCCATGTCAAATGACGTCATATGGATGGAAAAGCTGATCAGTCCCAGTCATGCTTTCGCCTGCTTCTCTTCCCTGGCCCCCAAGCTGGTTCCCAGGGGCCCCCCATATGGGCTGGGGCCGGGAGAGCACCAGCTGTCTCTCATCAACTGGGGCTCTGGTCTAACCCAGCCAACACTGAATCGTCCACTAGAACAAGGATTCAGCTGTGGCCGTCTACCGTCTCCTTCCAGCGTTACTCGGCTTCCCTGGGGACGGGGGGGGGGGGGTTGAGGTGGGGGGAGGATATTTCCATTTTGCTAGCTTTTCTTCCTCCAAGGAACGCAATATTTACTCGGCAGCAGTTGCTTTCTTAGGTAACCATTCCTTCCCTGACAAGGCTCTCCCTGGTCTCATCCTTGCACTTCTGGGGACCGGAAGCTTTGAGACTGTTATCTTGGTGCAAAAGCTCTCCCTAAGGAGTAGGCACACCGCCTCTAACTTCAAAAAAAGGGGGGGAGGGGAGGGAGGGCTGGGCACAAGGTATCCGTTTCCAACTGTATTTCTGCTATTCCTGTGAATGACCTGGGGACCATCCCTCTGGGCCTGGGATCCAGAGCGCGTCTGCCGGCAGTGCTGAGGCCTCTACTCACAGAAAGCATTGCCAGGCTGTCTCTGAGCCCAGGGAACATGAGGGTGGAGGGTCAGAGTGGAAAGTGTGGGCTGGGGACATAGCCCAGTGGTCAAGTGCCTTCCTAGCATGAATGAGACCCCGGCTTCGACCCCTGAGCAAGCAGAGTGGGGAGTGCAACTCCATGGGGCACAGCCCTTCCTGGTTTTCATTTGATGCTGTGGCAAAAGTCCAGAATGGCTGTTTTCAGCCTCTAGACAGGCAAGCCTATGGCCACCAAGAAGGCAGACACAGCCTATGGGTAAAGGGCACAGAACTCTTGGTCACAGCACTGGATCCTTTTTTTGTGGCTGCCAGAAGACTTTGAGAAGCCACAGCCAGTCCCTGAGCCAAGGATGAGGTGTCTGAGAACACTCTAGACCGAGCCTAACTCTGTTTGAAACTGCTTAGTGAAACGTGCGATCACCCTGCTCTTGGGCTGCCCGCTGCCAGAGCGGGAAGTCAGCCTGCACGCCACTCCGCACGCGTCTAGAAGGGGGGAGAGAGGATACCCCTCCCGCTAGAACGTGAGTCCGTGCTCTGCGCCCAAGGGCTGAGACTGGGTCTGGCAGAACTCCATCACCCTCTGCTGATCCAAGAGCCCCAAAATAACATAGACGAGGCTCATTTTCTCACCTCCATGCCTCTCCAGAGACCAGTGGGAGCATGGAGCGTGTCCTCTGAGAGCCCATGCTCTCTGCAGAAGGAACACAGCCTTAGCATTTCAAATGTCCCATGAACCCGGATGCTTCTATGCCGGTTTGCAGTCCTTGGTTCTCGGTTCCAAGCCCACCTTTCTCGGCACTAGGGCTGGACTCCCACAAACTTGTTTTGCCAGTAGCCAAGAGGGAGGATCTGCCAATAGGGAGAGGGGACTGGGGGGGAGGGGGGGAGCCTGCAAGGCTGGAGGGAGGAGAGGGCCTTGCCCCTCCCTGTTTATTTATCCCCTTAATCAACAACAATGTTTCATGGCAGCTGGCCCCAGCAGCCATAATTCCACTCCCTAGCTCCTCCTCCATGAGCCAAAGCCCCTTTCTCAAAGAGGTGAGGAGCACCCTCTCCATGCACAGATTTAGGTCCCAGATGCACAAGGTCCCTTCTTCAAACTTACAGGTTCAGATTAACTCCAAGGAAGGAACTAACTGTAAGCTCGACTAGCCACCCAGTAACCGCACCCTCTCTGCTCTGCTCAGTCACCCCCAAGAGTCAAATCCCGTTAAAATGTAAGGTGTGCTAATCTGTTTCCTGGCTGGATCTTGCCTATTGCAGGGACCAAGGCAAAATCAACCGCTATGGAAAACCTGCTTCCCATAGCACTACCAGAAGTCACAACTGCCCCTCTAGAGGCTGAGAGGCTGACCCTCACGCTCCTGGGACCAAATGAGAGCTGAAATTTCCCATTGCTAAGGCAAGACTGAAGAGATATCTGGGGTACATGCCAGACCCCATTAGGTCCCAAGGGACAAGCCACAGCTTCTCTGGCTCCCAAAGAGGTCCTCCCAACAGTTCACATGGCTGAAGACCCAGAGGGCAGGTGCCACAGAACATACTGGCCCCGGCTGTAATCTGGGTTCCCAGGTGGGGTTACCCAGACGCAGTCAACTGTTGGTGAACAGCCTAGGACCCAGATACTTTGAGTGTGCAGAAGACATTTCTAGACAGATGTCACCAGGCAGCCCCATAGACAAAAGCGAGGACGGCGAGGGTTCCTCTGCAGAAACGGGAGTGGGAGATGTCAGCTGTTGTGTGGGGCAGCCCCGCTCGCTACCTAGTTGATGCTGAAAGCTAATGGGGTGGGGTGGCCCCCAGATTCTTATTGTCCCTTTAACTGCATGAAGTGTTCCACACGGACAAGGCTCAGGCACTCCATCTTACCAGCCCATACTCTGCCCCACCCAGTGGGTTCCAGTCTAGTCCTCATACATTTAGGGGGAAGGAGGCTTGAGGCTCAGTGTCATCTGCCCTGGAGCTGGAGGGTGTGTGAAATTTGAAATATGTAAATGAGCAGGAAAGAGCAGTCTCAGGGAAAGAGAGTGTCGAGCCCACGGCACCCCAGCCTGCAGAGCCCACCGGATGCACAGCGAGGGGGAACCTGGGGGCACCCCCACCTTGTGACCTTGCACCAGCCAAGACGGGCACCCCAAGCCCTGACACTGTGACTCATTACCGATTTCTTCTGGCACATGCTTGCCATGGAACCGGAAACACACGGTGACATTTAGGCAGTTCACAGGCTGCTGTCCGTCATGACACTGAGGTGCCGTGATGTTGATGGAGCCTGGGAGGAAGATGGACACATCTACAGTGATGACCGGTCTGGCCCTGCAGGACAAGGAGAAGGGAGGGGACCTGTGTTAAGTAGCAGCTCTCAGAACCGAACAAGAACTATACAGGCAAAATAGACCATGGGACTTCAGCCAGCATTTAATTAAAGAATGAAATGCCCCAAGAGAGAAAGTGTGCTCTGTAAGTATTTTTTTTATTATTATTTTTCTGGTTTTAAAAGTAGCACATTCCCTGAAATACTAATGGTTTGCTTCCCGGTAACAAAGGCGAGTTAACTGTTAATGAAACACAGCTGGCTAAAGCCATAAATCAACCACCAGATGCTGGGTGATTATTTAAAATTTCACCCAAGAAGTCCCGATTTCCGTTTCACTGGGGAGGCGAGACGTCTCCACAGCACAGGGCATGGCTCAGGAGCCAGAAGCAAAGCCGCCTGTGACGGCTCTCTCCCGTAACCCCAGAATCCGAGCGACTGCATCAGAAGGGTTTCCCAGAGCTCTAGGCCAGGCTGGGTCAGAGAGAGGGCTTGCTTTAAAAGGCCAAAAGGAGGGGAGGAGGAGAAAGAGACAGAGACTGAGAGAGACAGAGAGGCCACTAGACACATACCGAGCGGTTCCTCTGCCGTTGTCAGCACGAGTTGGTTAAATATCCTCTTTCATTTATGTCTATCAAGTCATTGATTATGGTCTAAGAAGAATTAATTGATGGAATCCCAGCTGGTCCCAGCAAAACACATCAAGGAATTAACCTGACTAGCCTTAGGGCAAAGCGAGATCCAATAAACACAGCCCTCTCCCTGATGTGACCGCTCCCCTTGCCTGATGGGTGAACAGCATCCCTGGACTCCCCTAGGGGGAGGAGGCAGGAGCTGAGAAGGAGGCAGGCATGCCTTTCCCACCGTACACATCTGCTCAGGGAGGAGACACCTGAGCTGGGGCTTGACCTCCCTGCACCCCCACGACCCGCCCTGACCTCACAAAGGCCCTTCCCCCCTCAGGGTCCCTGGCTTTCATGCTTGTGGAGTGACTCGAGATTAAGGGGGCATAAACTGGGAATAGTGCCCTCATGTGTGCCTAAGGCTCAGTCAAAGGGCCCTAGGACGACAAGACGATGGGACACACGACCAAGGAACCCAAGACGAGAGACCGTTAAAGAAGAACCTGGGTGCATAGCGCAGTGAGGAGACGCACGGTACAGATGGCACGGGGACCCCGCCGTTGCTGCCACCGCAGGGACAGGAAGGGCAGCTGTGACAGGGCAGTGGACGGGGGAAACTCTGAGCAAATCTGGCTCTGGGGCAAAAGGAAGACGGACAACAATACTGCCTGAAAGAAACCAAAGCCCTGGTGTCGGTTTTCTTCTGGCTTCACCCTTAGAAGATGCTAGAATAACTCAAAGATCATTTCACCCCAGCTGGCGTAGAATGACGCCATGGTTAACTTTGCCAACTTGACAGGGTCTGGAATCGTCACGAGCACGTGTGAGGGGGCCGTCCCACGGGCTGGGGGGTCTCCGGCTACACAGGGTAGAGGGAGCTGAGCACCAGTGTTCACGCCTCTCTGCTTCCTGAATACAGATGGCATGTGACCAGCAGCCTCAGGCTCTTGTCACCATGAGCCTCCCTCCCCCATGACGGTCTGTGTCCCCAAGCTGAGGAAACATTAACCTTTCCTTCCTTTGCTTCTCAGTCGGTTAGTGGGCCCCCTCCAGGCTTTTATAGCAATAAAAGTAGAAACACCCCCACCCCGCCCTGCCCCACCCCACCAATGTGGTCTCAGCTCTGCTTCTTAACTCTGCCCACTGCCTTACCGTGTCTTTCTAACCCTGACCTGAAGCCCATCACTGGAGGGGGGGAGGGTAAGCAGCTATAAAGGGTCCACAGCTTCAGAGAGAGCCAAGCTCCTGTCTACCATGACACCCTGACAACCCCTGACCTGCCCCGCCTATGGAAAAGAAGATGAAAGGCCAGTCCATCCCCTTATCAGCCCACCAGAGCGAAGGCACAGTTTCCTCCCAGACAGCTGGGCTGAGTTGGGTGAGGCGAGCAGGAGACAGGAGCACTCCAGACAGAACTCACTCCGCAAAGCCCGCTAAGCGGGACCCTTTGAAAGGGCTGGCAGAGGCCCTCCCAGGTCCATCCCCTTCCAAGGCCTGTTAGAACAGTTCCCTCGGCGTTTTTTCTGTTTCCATTCCATGTATTGTTTTTGGATGGGGAAAGCACTCTTTCATAAGCCTCTCCGGTCACTTCCTCTGCCCCTGGGTGGCACGGATCTAGACTCCTATCACCAGAACAGGGACCTGCCCAACTGAGCAAACTTCCTGAGGGCAGAGCTGGGCCTGCCTCGCACTCCTAGGGCGGAGCCCACCTGCCAAGCACCAGCCTCTAGATAACAGCAGCAAAGGGTCATGGGAGGACAGAACCAGAAGCGTTTTTAAGACTTCAAAGAAGCCAGCGACTGCAGCGCTTTTCAGGGGCAGAGGTCAGATTTCCACGTTGCGCTTCCAAGTAGATGACAGAAGTGTGGGGGGGGTGGGGGGGGTGTGGGTGGGTGGGTGTGTGTGGGTGTGGGTGTGTGGGTGTGTACCGTTTCCACATGGCGGCGTGCAGGCAGGGACAAGCGAAGGCTAGCCACAAAACCAGCCCCGGGCCTTCCTCTGTCCCGGTTCATCTGTGTTCGCACAGTTGAAGATGCCCAGTCGGGTTCTCTCTTAGCTTAGCCCAAAGCTTCCCCCAAACACCCAGGTGCCTCTCCCAGCGTCTTTAACTACAGCTCACACGGTGGCTGTCTGCGGGCACACACAGTCCTCTGTTCGTCTCACCCAAAGGCGAAAGATACTCAGCTGGCTCTGAAGCACCTGCCTGTGTGCTCCTCTGTAGCCCCGGCCTCGGGAAAGGCAGCCGAGAGCCACTGTCTCCAGCCTCCTCCTCTCCCCTACCCACCCACACCATGGGGCTGCTGCTACAACACTGCCCAAAAGCTGCATTATCAGCCAATACAACCAACCGCTGGCCTTTGGTGGCACCCCAGCCAGGGCATGCTCACCTGGTCCTCTCTGCTGGATCTGACACCACCGTTGCCCCTGACAGTGTCCTCCTGCTTCGCTGACCTATTGGCACCATCTGGGAATTTTTTTAAAAGCCTGTCCCAATTGGCTTTCCCGTTGCTGTGATAAACACCATGACTATGACTAACAGCATCCTGGGGGGGGAAGGGTATATGTCAGCTTAGAGCTTATGGTCCATTTCCAAGCAAAGCTAACACAGGAGCTTGAAGCAGAAACCATGGAGGCTCAGTGCTCATCAGTTTGCTCCCGCTGGCTTTCTTACACAGCCAAGGCCCACCTGCCTAGGGATGGCACCGCCCACAGCGGGCGGGCTAGGCCATTCTGCATCAACTGGGAATCAACAAGATCTCACAGGCCAATCTGATGGAAGCAATTCTTCCATTGAGGCTCTGTCTTCCCAGGTGTGTCAAGCTGGCAACCACGCTCACCACCACAAAACTCCTAGTTCTTCACCCATAAGGAGGATAATGGCAATACACATGCCTTGCCACGGAGCTGTTTAGAGGACAAGAAGTCAGTCCACAGTGTGAATACCAAACACGGGCAGATCTCAGAAACATCGAGAGGAGAGGAAGAACTCAGGAAATAGAATACATATGGTGTGATTCCAGTCTTATCCAATAGGCAAAGATGACCTGTAGTGACAGAAATAACAACAGTAGATGCCTATCGAGAGGAAGATGCAATTAGAGCTTAAGAGGGGCTGGTGAGATGGTTGGTGGACAGAGTCCTTGTCATGCGAGCCTGGAGACTTGAGTTTGAGCCTCTGAACACATATAAAGGTAGAAGGACAGAATCCATCCCACAATGTTGTCTTAATATGCACCTACCCAACACAATAACAATAACAAATCATTTTTAACAGCCCAAGAAAGCTTGCAGGTTGACAGGAATGGACTTTATCTTGGAGGTGGTATAGTCTGCATGGGTATGTGCACCAGTCAAAACTCATTAACCATATGCTAAAAAAGGTGCATTGTGCTGTATACAAATTATAATCCAAGAAAGAAAGAAAACACACAATGAACGTAGTCATGCACGGCATGAATGTTGAAGACAGAGACCACATGTATGATTGCAGTCCCATAGATGGCACCACATAGTCATGTCATAGGTGCCTCAGCTTATATGAGTACACACTGTTATACTCAGCCATGATGAAATCACCCAATGAAGCATCCCTCTGGACACACGCCTGTGGCTAAGCACAGGAATTTACATAAAGTATTCACATAGTGCTTAGTGTATGGGAGGTATCTGTCAAACACTGGCTAGAATGGAAGACTGGGGACCAGGACTGTCCTGTTCTCTGTCCAGTCTCTAGCATCTCAGACACGCACAGCTGCATCTCAACAGGACAATGAACAGAGAATGAAGGCAGGGACTCCTGTGATGGCGATGGCACCGTCGCCATGCGCCTCTGGAGCCCGTGTGGGCTCATTGTTCTTCCGGCGTCTTCCAGACTGTGCAGATGTGGGGCTCCTCACTGACTCACCCATGTGCTCTCTCCCTGGCATTGCACCTCATGAGATTTGACCTTCCACTCCATGCTGGAATTTGGGGTCCCCATCGACGGGGAGGGCACCTCACTCAATATCGACACCCATGGAGGAGAGAGAAAAGGAGAAGCTCCTTTGGGTTTGTGGCTCATGGGGGAAGACAGACTGGGTCCCAGCACCGCGAGAGGAAGTGAAGGAACTCCCAGCCCTGACTCGGAAGCTATCTCCAATCAACAGCTTTTTCTCCGATGGAGTCTCCCTACGTATGTAAGCCACACTTAAGGGCAGGCCCCATGCCCAGCAGCACATGGCCAACACAAAAGAAACCCAATGGCATTTTCAGTGATTATCTTTTGTCTCAGAAAGCTTTGTTTGAGCCTTGTTTTTTCTTTTGCTTACCTATTGTGGTTTCCAATTACGTGTTTTTATGGAGTGTGTGTGTGCTATTATTTTGTTTTGTTTTAATCTCCCTGTTTGTTTTCTTAAAAAAAAGGGGGGAGGGTGAAGAAAGAAGGCATGGGGTTGGATGGATAGGGAGAGGATCTTGAAGGAGATGAGAAAGGAGAAACTATGATTAGAATATATTGTATGAGAGACAAACAGGTGCTCTGGGTATCAAGACAGCCCACTGCCTCTGTAAGAGGCCAGGGGACATGTTTCATCTTAGAGGGATCTACAGTGAGCTGCGGCTCCCCATGTCACAGACCTTCACCGTAGCCTCATCCGGGAGGGGAGCTGCCACCCAGAGAAAGCGGAGGAGAAGAGTGGAAACCCAGCCACATGCAGTGCAATTCAAGGAGCCAGGAAGATTTGACATTACTGTCTGGGTACACACTGTTATCTTCAGATGCTGCAGGGCTTCTGGGTAGATGGTACAGGAGCAGAAAGCACAATTCCAGGAAGTCAAATTTAACCAGATCTGCATACGACCCGCTCACCCTCACACAGACTGTCTGATATTTACATGTATCAACCCACAGCTTCTGGGAAACACTCCCCGGGACAGAGTGGGGCGGGAGGTGTCAAGGAGCTTGCTTGCCCAGGAAGCTCACCTGGAAGGGCAGAGGTAGGGTTTGAACTCAGGCCGCCTGTCCTCTAGGTCACAACTAACGTCAAGGTTTTTCTGCCGGTTTGACAACACAAAGTGTAGATCTATCTAGCTTAGCCAGTCGGTTCTCTCTAAGTCACTAAGCCGCTTCTGTGGGGGACCTCATTGAAGAAGAGACTGTGTCCCTCTGGGGAGGCTCTGAGGAGGCAAGGCTGCGTGTGAAGCGCCTGTGGTGTAGGACTGCATGGCCTCTGGGATCCCTTCCAGCTGCAAGCCCATAGCAGTTCATTTTAGAACTTTCTGCCATCGAGTTATTAACAAGACCCATTGGCTCCCACTCCAGTGAGCGACTCTGCTTCCTCTGACTCACACAGACAGAAATGCTTGAAGATGGGGCATGGGTGGAGATGCTTGCTGCTGCATGGGTGGAGATGCTTGCTGCTGCATGGGTGGAGATGCTTGCTGCTGCATGGGTGGAGATGCTTGCTGCTGCATGGGTGGAGATGCTTGCTGCTGCATGGGTGGAGATGCTTGCTGCCGCACCGGCTTCAGCAAGCACTGACCCTAAGTACACGTCCCTCACCTCTGCTGCCACCAGCGATGGGACAGGAAGCTCCCCCAGTCCGTGGGGTTGAGGACTAACAGCAGCGAAGATACTGGTTATAAAGATTAAAAACAAAAACCTAGGCTGAACAGGGTTTCCCGGCCCTCTGAATGCCTGGAGCCTATAGGAGACGGGAATGTTTAGCTAGCACGCCAGCAGAAGGAGATAGTCACTACCAAAGACAGCCCTTCTTGGATTAGGGTTGGGTTAGCCCAAGTCCTGTTGAGACACCCCAGAAAGCTCTTAGCTTCCCATAAGCTAGTCAAGGCCCAGACTCTGGAACTCTGTGGAACGGAACAATATGACTGAGAGAAAAAAAAAAGCAGAATTTATCTGTGCCCGCAGCACCTTCAACCTGAAGGACTAGGCTAAGGTTAAGAGCCAAACGGTGGGGTCACACCCCATGCCTCCTCCGCAAAATTCCATCTGTCACTCATGAAAAACACGACCCCAGGAGCAAAAGCCAGACATCTCACCTGAGGAGGACCACGCTGTCGGACAGGAAGGCTCCGATGGTGACATCTGAAAACAAGAGGTCACAGTCTCAGAACCTTGTAGAAACCAGCCCCAGCTGCCCTTTGGTGCCACAGCGACAGAGGCCCAGCCTTGTGGTCAGGGAGCCTTCCTGCTGCTGCTGTCTGGCTGCGTAGTGACTTATAAAGCACTACAGCCACACTGCCCTAAGTGGCGGCCAAGCACATACTGAAGCCTGGAAACGGAGCTGGGTGTGTAAAACACAAAGCAGATTTTGAAGACCTAATTTTAAAGAAATTAACTCATTAATGATGTTTATATTAGTTACACAGTAAAATTTTGACTATATTGGATTACACTTCATTAAATGTCATCTTGTTTGTGTATATTTTTCTGTAGCTACTAACATATACCACTAGATATCATTAATTATCTAAGCAAATGTTATTTTATTGGTATATATAATTTACTGTAATCTGTATCTGGTGGATAATCCTTTTTAGTGATTTGAAAACAGATCTTCTGCCAAGAGTTTGGGTTTTCTTAGCAACTTTGTATAAAGGAGTTTCTTATCTGAGCTGAACCCTTTAAAAGTTGGCCACCAGGCAAAAGTCCCCATTCTGCTGTGTGAATAACAACCGTTAACCAAACCGAAAAAGAAACCTATCTTATCTCCATTATCCGGCATGCTCTGAGGAAAAACAGCTTACCAGGATAGCCATTCCCGTCCATGTCAATGCCCCCTGAGATGGACTGCCCAAACATCCGCAGGATTGGGTTTATCTTCCTCCCGGACAGTTTCTGAAACAGACAATGGCAGACTGGAGTCACAGGAGGGCAGTGAGAGGACCTGGGACCATTTGAACCCAGCTTCCTCGGGGCGCTGGGTCTCAAGCTGTTGAAAGGAAAGGAAATGTTGGTAGAATATGGCCAGAGGGTCTGCAGTAGGTATTTGAAGATCTCACACTTCCTTATTGCTGCTTGCCTTGGCCAGATGTCATCATTTAAAAAAAAATTTGCTTGAGTCTGCTGACAATAAAACGTCGACTAAAAACGTGATTTTAAAAAGTTTTTTGTTTTTACACCGTTTATTTATTTGTGTGCAGGGGTTGCTTAGGCCACAGTGCGCACGCAGGGGAGGTAAGGGGAGACCCTGAAAGAATTGATTCTCTCCTCCCACCATGTAGGTCCCGGGATTAACCCTTAGGTGGCTGGGCTTGGCGGCAAGCTCCTTTACCCACTGAGCCATCTCACTGTCCCGTTGAATGTTTCTGACAGGTTGAAATTCAAGACAAATGAAGGCTGGAGTTTTTCCCATTGTGTGTGTGTGTGTGTGTGTGTGTGTGTGTGTGTGTGTGTGCACATGAGCACACACATGTGTAGACGTTAGGGGCCAACCTTGTGTCAATCCTCGGGTGATATCGTCTGCTTTTCTTTTTTTTTTAAGGCAGGGTCTCTCAGTGGTATGAAACTTACCCAGTAGTTTGGGCGGGCTGACCAACAAGCTCAGAGAGCCTGCTCTCTCTGCTTCCCTAGTGCTGGGATCATAGTGCCTGTCGTCACGCCTGGGTTTTGGTTTTTGTTTTTAACATGTGCTGGGGGTCACCTCAGGTCCCTATGGCTGTGAGCAATCACTTCACTGACCGGGTCATCTCCCTCACCCTTGACCTCGCCTTTGATTCTGACCTGGGCACGGTTGGTTGGAACGTTGGCAGCGTCCTTCCCTCCTAGCTCCCTACTTATTTAGCACTAACTATTTCACTCGCCTCCCCCTAAGATGGACAGGTAGCGTATCACTAACACTGGAAGGACAGCCAGGTGGAAACCTCCCTTCCAGCCAGCCCACCAGGAGGTCTACAGACTCCTAAGCTGCACAGAAATTACTCAGCAGTCTGACCTAGCCACTCCAGAACTGCATGGAGCTGAGCCTGCTCTGCAGCACAGGGAGGGAATCAGCCATCCCTCCTGAAAGGCATCCCTCGACCCACGTGTCACACTCAACTCTACTCCCACATCACATTTTCATACAACCCTAACTTCATCACAGCAGACAGCGCAGGTTGAGGGCACTTGTTGTGTCTGGGGTGCCTGTGAAGTGCCTGACTTACAAGCACAGAACCTGAGATCTGTCTCCAGCATCTACATAAAAAGTCGGGCAGGGTGGGATGCGTTGGAATCCCAGTGCTGGGGAGCCAGAGGCAGGAGGATCCGAGGCTCATTGGCTAGCGTTAGTCTACCTTCCTTGGTGAACTCCAGGCATATGAGAGACCCTGAGTCAAAGGGTGTGGACAGTGTTGCCAAGAACGACACCTGAAGCTGTCCTCCAGCTTTGTGCATACACGCCCCCACATGCACATACTCATATCTAAATGAGAGCACAGGGCTGGAGATGCTTCCCAATGGTTAGCGCACTCTGCTCTTGCAGAGGCTCCCAGTTTAGTTTCCAGCATCCACAGTTAGAGACAACTGCCTGTAATCCCAGTTCCAGGAGATCCGGCACCCCCTTCTGGCCTCCTGAGCCACTGCATTCACATGCCCACACACAGACACGCAAAAATAATAAGATGCTTTTAACAAGTGAAGAGCTGTCACACAGCCATCCCTCATTCCACCAAAGACATCATTCACGCTTGTGAGACACAGTTCCCGCCAAAGCCATCATTCACGCTTGTGAGACACAGTTCCCGCCAAAGCCGTCCATTCACGCTTGTGAGGCACAGTTCCCGCCAAAGCTTTCAAAGACACCAAACTTCTTGAGCCAGAAAGTCTCATTTTCTGAGATCTGATCAGTTCCCACTTTCTTCCATCACAGTATCCTAGTCAGCCTTTTGCTGCTGTGATAAAAATACTGACCAAAAGCTACCTGGGGAGGAAAGGGCGTGTAGCCATTTACAGGTTATAGTCCATTGTCAAGGGAACTCACGGCAGGAGCTTGAGGCAGAAACCATGGAGGCTCACCGCTTATCAGCTTGCTCCCTCTGGCCTGCTCATCCATCTTTCCTATTCGGACCAGGCCCAGCTGCTAGGATGGGCACCACCCACAGCGGGTTACGCCCTCTTACATTAACTAGCAGCATAGAAAGCACGGCACAGACATGCCCTCGGGTCAGTCTAATGCAGACAATTCTTCAGCTGAGTTTCATCCCAGGTGAGTCTGGGCTTGTGTCCAGTTGATACCTGATAACTATAACATAGCGTCTCTTCACGGGTAACAGAGACCCCCTACATTTCCTCATCTTGTAGTGAAGCCCACAACAAAACCAAGCTCACAGACATCCCAGGGCGCAGCCTGCCTTGCTTTCTCTGGATTTGTCCTTACTAAGTCACACGGTGGGGACACCCTGGTGGAGGCAGGGGAATGTCCACGGGCTCTCCTGAGAGAGATAGGATGCCCCTGGCCTCAGCAGCTGACACCTATGAGGATCAACCCAGAGATGATCGAAGAGGGCTGTTTGCCATCTTCTGCTGAGGCATCCGACGGGGAACGTGTGAGTATCAAAGAGCAGCTGAGCCCTGGAGGCAGTCCTGCAGAGACATGGCTTGTTAACAAGCTCAGTCACACACCCCACAAGTCTCAGTCGAAAGAAACTTGTGTGTGTGCCTGAGTAAAAGGCACACTTTGCAGCGGCCCATTTCAGCTCTGGGAGCCGAGAACATTACAAGCAGCTTGCTGCAGGGCTTTCGTTTCTTGGGTAGGCTGTGGCTGGGGCTGTGGCTGTGGCTGGGGCTGGGGCTGGGGGAGAGTGAGGGGTGGTCCATCTGGGGGTGGCAATGCAGACTTAAGTTATCCACTGACATCTGCAGGCCATTATGCTATAAAGCGGGGAAGATAAGTCTGCACAGTGCTAATAACCCCAAATGGAAACCAGGAACTGTGGGAAACCTCTGCTTGACCAGGTTTATATGCAGAGTCTGTTAGGGCAAGGGAAAGATCACAGGGGCCGCCACGACATGCCCAGGGGGCTCTCCACTGAGGAAGGCATCTAAGAATCTTAAAATCAACACTTTTCATGGCAAAAGGAGGCGTAGGTATGAGTTAGAGAGTAACGTGGGAGAAGTCCAGGCTCTGATCTCACTATTTCTCCAGCAGAAAAAAAAAATATGAGTTGGGGCCAAAGAAAAGCAATCTCATTGCCTAGATTCGTTTCTGATTTCTTCTTCTAGCTCTTGAACACAATACCGGCTCTGTCCAGGATCCAAGCCCAGGAGAACCTGTCATTAGTGGATTTCTTTTCCCTTTTAAATCACTGACCTTATCATACACATATTAGCAATCTGGGAAAAGTATAGCCATAGCAGTTTCTCCCTTTCTCTTTCTCTCTCCACCCTGTTCTTTAAAGAGCCCCAAAGCACTTCTCTTTGTGAGGGTTAAGTAAGCCAGGGTGCGTGCGGACAAAAGCGCCGCTTCCAGCTGCCAATCGCGGCTTCCTGCTAGATGCTCCTCCAGCCACAAATGTGCATGGCAGCTTTCTGCAAGGATTCCGCCCAGCAACCAAACAAAACACTGCAGAGCCAAAGGGGAGCCGGGGAGGTGGGGGCTCCCGCAGGTGGCCTCCCTGTGTGATTAGCTTCCGAGTTCCAGGCACAAGCTTCCAGGAGGATGTGTGGAGAATGACCCCCCAGCCCCTGCCCGAGGATGGGCTTCTTAGATGACACAGCATCCCTGACCCAAACCTTACAGACCCCGCTCTGTGTTTCTAGCTTCTAATGAAGTTGGCTGAACCACCTAAAAGTTTGTTGTTTCCATGGTTGCTCACATCTAATGATGAGAGAACAGTCTGTGGATGGATGTCCCTTGAGAGTGTGTGTACTTCAAGGCAACAGGAGTCTCCAAGGCTGTCAGTTTTCCAGCGGAACTTCCGTGGGTGGGCCTTTTTCCAGAACGCAGTTGAGAAAGGTGACTGCTCAGGGAAAATTCAATACCCTATGGGGGCTCATCAGAAAGTCAGTGGCTAATAAATGGATCCACCTCACACAACTGTCATGCGGATTCGGTTAACGGCTCCTCTCCGGAAACAACAGCTCCTCCTCCTCGCCAAGCCTCTCAGTCATGAGTGTCT